CTCTTTCTTAACTTCTTTGTATCTTTCTAATTTCAATGGCCATTTTTTACTCCCAACTCTCTCTTTGTTGTTTCATTTTCTTCTCTGACAATTCCCTCCATCCTGCATCTTCAATTCTTTCCTTTCTTCTGAAAAAATATAGCTAGAAAGCAGTCATGAGAAAGACAGTGACTGTAAAGAGCATTGCTACCAGTTTCATACTGTCCATCTTTAATATTCTGTTACATGATGCTTTATAATGGAAGGATCTGTGGCTGCATTTTGCTTTTTGCTATTAAAGCATTCCAGTTTCTGTGTTGGGAGTAGACTGTTGTTATATGCTGGTAAAAGGAGCAGTCTAGGTACAACACATGTAATGAGTTAAGAATTTTCTTGCCCTTCCTCCAGTTTGGCTATCAAATATTTGAAAGTAGAAATGTGTGTTTAACTGACACCCCTGGTAAGACCTCTATAGATCTCCAAACTATGATCCATTATGTACGAGTGATCCAAGTGGAACATAATTACTCTAGTAATTCCATTATTAAGTAAATACACTTGGACATGTAAATATGGGCCCTAACCCTGCACACTTTTGTGTGCCCTGCAAGATCCTATGCTGAATTTCCCCTGAGATCAATGGAGTTGAGCTGACAGCAGGTGAGTTTAGATGTTTTACAGGACTTCTTGCTATGTCAATCAAAAATAAATTTAAAATGGAAAAATGAAGACCAAGACTATGAAATATTCCCAATGCAGGTATTCATTCAAATGTAAATCCATGAAAAGTGGCCTTGCATAAACGAAGTGGTAAGACATAGAGGACTGGAGGCAATTTTTCACTGTATCAGATCGGCAAGCAGAGAGTATGGACTGCATATAGTGAAGCATTATATCAATGGAAAAGAAGACAGTGTTTACCTCTTTGAATGGTGACACCATATTCACAATGGGAATGAATTTTAGCGAAAATAGTAATAACTAATAGAGAAATAGGACTTGATTCTGAAGAAAGGTAAAAGGAATTATGTGCGTGTAGGCTGGTTACAGGACTGAGGTAGGGGAAATAATAATTGCATATTCATAACTAAAAAGAAAAAGGAATTATTTGGAGAACAACTAAGAATGAAACCAAAACCCAAATGTATACGATACTGCAAAGTTACCAAAAACATTTACATTTTGCAAAGTTTGAAAGAGACTTGCTCATTTTATTTATTTGCCTTTATTGAAGAATCTTTATCAAAACTGGTTATTGAGTGACCTTATCGTTGCTGTGGATTTTGAGGATAAAGTTGGATAATGTTCTTGACAAGTGATTCAAAATTAATAAAGAAAAAAATGAAAAGAAAATATATAGACTATTTTATAAGTCCCCATTTTTAAATTAAACTCAGTTGGCAGGTAAGATTGCAGTGAAAAATGTAAAACATAAGCCAGCTCTAAAGTACAATTTCCCTTTTGATCTAGTTTGTTATATGCTGGTAAAAGGAGCCCTTATTCAAAGAGGCAATGACTCTGAGAAGGGCTATAGATGAGCATTAGCTCATACTGGCTTGTTTTTATGAGCTTCTCTTGCAATATTGTGATATAAAACAAGCCCTTAAGGCTTTGGGTTTTAAGGTGGAAGAATATGAATAGAAATAAGGAAGAAGTATTGCCTCTAAACACAGCACTGGGAAGACAAAGTGGCATCCAGTACAGTGCCAGCGATTTTTAAAGTAAGTTAAGAAATTAAGGAAGTGCAGAGAAGAGCCACAAAATGGAGCTGATGGTCAGAATTTATCTTTTTTTTCATTAGTACTACAGTCCTAAAGAGGTCAATCTGTTTAGCTCTGAGGGCTGATTTGATTATGATGGATAAGTACCTTTGCAGGCAGAAAATACTAGGTACTTAAGGGCTCTTTAATCTGTCAGAAAAGCCACAAGAGGTAAACAGCTGCAAGTTATAGCTAGACAAATTCAAAAGATTCGTGAAGGACATTTTTAGCTGTACAGGCAATTAGCCAATGGAACAAACTGCCTTTGGAAATAATAGATCCTTCAAAGCAAAACCAGATGCCTCTCCGGATGAAGCTTTACTCAAACATCTCTAATGTTCACTTCTGGCCTTAGTTCTTTGAATGGTTGTGTGGGAGATAGCATATTTATGGAACCATCTGACATTGACGGAAGCATGGATCCTGTGAATTTAGCAAACTATGTATTTTTATATTGCTAAATATTGTAAAGTGCTAAACATTGAATAGTGCATCTATCCCCCACAAGGAGAGAGGTCAAGGAGCTTTAGTTTTTAGTGTGATAGGAGAGAAATCTATCATGCCTGTACAAACTGGTATTTGTCAATACGTAAAT